TCCCCTCCTCCCTCTTCCCCTCCTCCCTCTTCCCCTCCTCCCTCTTCCCCTCCTCCCTCTTCCCCTCCTCCCTCTTCCCCTCCTCCCTCTTCCCCTCCTCCCTCCTCCCTCTTTCCCCACTCCCTCTGCTTACCTCGTTAACGCGGTGGAAGCACTGCAGCCCAGCAGCAATCACAACCTCACACGCGTCCGTGTACACCCGGGATCCGTACTCCCCACGGAATCGGAGCCAGTCCCAATACCTGCGGGCACACACCACAGGCACCAGCACGGTAAACCACCCTACGAGGCACCACCACAGATACCGCAAGGATAAGGACTACGTTACAACGTGCACTCTACAGCATTCTCCAACTAAAGCCGCTGCCGCAGCAGCAGAAGCACCACCACCACCACCATCACCTGTATATCAACCCTCCTTGCAACCTTCCCATCAGCCTGTTCACCGGTACATTAAATCGCCGTCTTACGGGTAAACAAGCCGATCTCCACATCATACCAGCTCCAGCCATCCCCCGGTAGCCAACCCCACTTCACCTGGCGCTGAAGTCCACCCCCAGGGTATCCCCCGAGTGCAGCCGGGGAGGCTCCACGTCGTTCCAGCGGCGGTACTGAGTGCCCCAGCGCACGTTGAACAGATGCAGCGGCATGCCCTTGTGCTGTAACCATGTACGGTACTCCAGCAGCGCGTACGGCGAGTAGTCCTGGAAGGCGTCGTACTCCTGGGTGTACTTGGTCTGGGAGGATGCGGTCAGGCATAACGGTGTGAGATCCGGCGACGTCGGAGGTGTGAAGAGGGGGTTGAAGCGGCGGAAGGGATCGACGTCACGTGCGCGTTGGGCTTCACACAAACCACAGATAAGGGAGAGAAGCGCGCCCAGGCTGGAGCCTTATGCTAATTGCTAATTGCAGGTTATCAGGGGAGGCGACAAAGGACTCAGGACGGAAGTGTGTGAGTGCGGACGCGCACTGAGGAGCACTGATGCCCCCCTAAGTGCTGGCGACTCTGTATCGCTTGTTGGCTTGTTGTGCGTGTCTGGGATGTCCAGCACGAGAACGTGTTTGGGAGGGCCGGGGAAGAGGAGGGGCAGGGCAAATGGAAAATTTGAACGGCTGCTCCTCACGCCCCGGGTTCCCTTGCTTACCTGGTATGCATTGTTGTACACGGGTTGCATGGCAACGATGCAGCCCGCATACCCATTCGCCAAGTGTGAGGCCACATTCTTGAGAAACCTGCGCGCTGCTGCGCGGCTAAGAGAGTGGAACCACGACAGCCTGACGTACTTGCGGCCATCAGCATCGTACGACTTGGCATCCGGATAGCGCTTCCAGATCCATGAAGGTGGATTTACCAGGTCCACTGCAAAGTTGACCTGAAAAAAATGGTGGTTACTAATCAAGCAAATCTCTTCGGTTCTAACAACGGCCAACGGTCCAAAATGGAACTGTCAATTGTCAACTGTCAACGCACCTTGAGCGATGTGTTTTTGCAGGCCGCGTCCATGAGCATGTCTAGGTAGCGGTAACGGACCTGCCCTTCCTCGGGCTCTCCCCAATCCCTGGGGGGACGGGGGGGGGGAGGGGGGAAACAGGAAGTGGCATTCATTCCGTGCGCCGCGTGCGTGTGTGGGGTGGGTGGGTGTGTGGGGAAGAGTTTGAGGGAAGGAGGGCTAGTAGGGGGAAGAGGGAAAAGCGGAGATGTCGCAGCAGGACGAAGAGGATGAGGAGGTGCAGAACGGCGATACGTGACGTGTCTTGCAACGTGCCGTACAATGCTGTACACCAGGGGCAGCTCTCCACCCAGCCGTATTCCAGCTAGACCAGGTAGCCAACCCAGTGCGACCATCAGGCACAGGATGCCTCTTGTGTACCCTACTTGCCAGCATGCGGCCGCTTCAAAGTACCCACATGGTTTGTGACCCACCGACCCACCGACCCACCAGTTGATACTGAAGATCACAGTGTTAACACCCGCCTTCTGCATCTGTTGCAGGGTGGTGATGAACGCATCCACTTTGGGTTTGTCTGACAGCATGTCGAATTGAGAACTGAGGACCGGGGGGGGGGGGGTTGGAGTGGATGGGAACCAGCATTAAGATGCAATGGGCCAGGCAGATGGATTAAATCGCAGTCCACACTTCATAATAGGACGGAGACTAACTGAGTAGAGGATGGGGAAAACCCGGACATGGAACCGGGAAACCTCCAACCCCACCCGGAATGGGTGGATTGTTGCTGATGAAGGGTTGTTGCTAGGAGGATGTGGTTTACATTTTTTATTGTATCAGCGTGCAGGGATGATCCAGGGAAGGTCCAGAGGGAAGATCCAGGCATAACCAACACAAACGAAAATGTGTTAGAAAGCTCCTCCTCCGTGTGCATTCAGCAATGACGCAAAACAAAACGGCATGCATCTTGGAGCTGCCACGAGGGTTGTCTTCTGAGTGCTGATCGCGCCTGGGGTAATGGCAATCTCAATGTTGGACCCTTGCTCCGTGTTTTTAGTCTTACGTGCTGTCACGCGACCCTGGTCCTGTGTACTAGGTATGCCAGCGTTTTTTCCGACAGCATTCCGCAAATCGGCAAATCCTGCCGTTATCGTCCCCTACTGCATCATCCTGCTAGGACACACGATGCGAACCATCGCCTTTTCGAAGCGCCTGATGAGCTCCTCAATGTGCATCACGTGAACGTTACCCCATTACACCTCCTCAACAGGTCTTGTCTAAGCTGCCGTTGTTCGCCGGCGGGTTAGACAGCGGACAGGTTCAAAAGGTGGCAAAAGTCGAGAACTTCCTTATGACCTCCTGAAAGCTGCATAAGCAACAGCAATCTTCGGCAGCCTTTGGTACATGTACGGTGCGATGTACGGTGGTGTCGTCATTGCACTGGGACTTTAAAAAAGCAGGGCAGCGGGTGCGCTGTGGGGGGGGGAGCAGTGCAGGACTTCTGAGGTCCCCAGGTCCGCGCCGCTAGACATTATGTCTGGGGCCGCATTGTAGTCCGCGCATGTGAACATGCGCCAAACTTATCTTGCGCACGTTCCTCAACCTGACCGGAGTTTACACGTCTGTACGAAAGAAGTCTTTAAGGTGCATGCTGTAAGCTAAAAAGCTCGTGCGCCTGTTGCCTTATATGGGCCATACAAGCTTTACAAAGTTTGTAATAAAATGCCAACGTTCACCACTGTACAGCTGCGGGCACATGACCTTACCTGAGCTCGCTCTGGTATATAGTGCCTGCATCACAAGTACGCCGATCGAATGAGTTGATTCAAATTTCATTACATGAAGGTGACAAGCTCAGATTAGCCTTCGGCAAAGTCAAGACCCTCATCCAGAGTACGAGCTGGACTATAAGCAGGGTCTTTTGCAAAGCACGCTTGCATCACATGAAACATCCCTACCGAAGGTATTTGTTGGCGCAAGAATTCTGGTAGGAGCTCGGCTGTGCGATTGGAGACGGCGCCTGCTTAGACCTGGCTGTCCATCGCGTCGCCAAGTATCCGACGGAGAAAGCGCTACATATAATAGAATTGTGGCAAGTAATGCTGCAAAAGTAAGAAATAGTCCTCGAGCTCTAGGCATACGGGCATCTGCCTTGTCCTGCCTCGCTCCGCGCAATGCGGAGCGTGTTGCCATTGGTAAAGAAGTTTATAGTCCCAAAAAGACTGAGAGCAGGCGCCGGCGCAGCCTCTAGCTGTTGGACCTTGGCTCTAAGAAGTTGGGTTGCGCAGAGTTGCGCCCACCTAGGCTTTGGTAGTAAAACCTCCTATGCAGCTATAATTGTCCGCGAACCTTTAACCTTAAAAATGTTATTACTCGGTGTACTTCTTGATTTTGTTCCAAAGGAGGACATGGAGTTTTACTCGTACTGCTGTCCGCCGAACGCACAGGCCATACGCACGTGCAATACTAACTGACGCGCCAAAGCCTATACGCGGCTTCATTTCGGCGCAATGTTTTTGAACCCTACCGCATCGCTTACTGGAGGTAGCAGAGTAAGGTACAAAAGTTAGCTATAACATAGTGCAACGAAGTGTAACGCCAAAAGCTCAATGCGTCCGAAATAACACCACAAATGTTTATGTTTTTGCCTTGTTTCCAAAGGCAGGGCGCTTGTTCCGAGGCCAGTCGTCAACATAGTACAGCATACCACGCCACCGGTAAAGTCGATCTTTGTCGATACGTTACCAGATCTTGACTTCATCGGCGACGGAAGAATGCTTTTACCAGCTCGCAATTCATCCGAAAAGAGAGATGGAGGAGCAGCCTTTCCGCGTTTAGCCGCTAGAATGCTCTCATGTCCAAAGCAGCCTTATCCGTCACACTTTATGTCAGTCTTCAGAGTATTAATTTTTTGAACAGTAGCAGAATCAAAGGTCGTGACAGCGCCGCGGTAGTGGAGGCTCGAAGAAAAAATACTGAACTCGGCGATTCTCCGGGCGACTTCGCAGCATGTTCACACGCGCATTAGCATTCAAGCACTGCATTATGGCTGTGTCCTTGGAACAAATTTGGGATGTGATGTAAAGTAGTTGCATACTCGCAACTTGCAAGTTGTAACTTCGAAGGCCGAAGACTATACGACGTGTGATGCACCGAATATGCGCGTATATGAAGGCATACATGAAGACGCGTATACGGGCCTTTATGGTTTACACTTTCTTACGACTTTACGCCTTGCAAATTATGTGCGCTTTTATAACGTGCACACACGTACGCGCATACCTAACATTTTTTGCCCAAGCCTGTCGTGCAGCCGATTTCCGTAGGTTTGGGGCTTTTGTCCTCCGAGCCATGACCTTCAGTTTTCCCTTCATCGCTTCGGCCTGCACAGAGTTGCTAGGGGCGAGAAGGGCGAGCATAGGCAAGTGCGCGTAGCGCCACAGGCGGTCGGCTGGACGGTGAACTTTGATTCCTGATACGACATGCGACGTTTAGCATTATGGGGATGACTCCAGCATTCCGGCGCGCAGATAGAGTACAGTGGAATCCTTGACAGAAACCTGCGTGTCGATTTCCGTACGGGCCGACATAGCCCGTGCAAATAGTACTTGACTTATATAACGCTTGTAGTAACTAAAATGAACATCTGTACTAAGACTAATCCAAATTCCTTATCACTGCTGACCGAAAGACCTAAAAGCAAACTAACTTCGCCGAAATCGTGACAATGTCACAATGTAATTCATTTTTACACTCAAATCGCTGCATGATAGCGTTAAGGACAGCAGCCTTCTCACTCCAAGCCACGACCAACGCATTGTCGACACAGGCCAGGATATCTGACATTTCACAGATGAACGCCCCAGTCCAGCAGCGCCGCAGACCCGGCCCTACCTTGCTGCCCTCGCCAGCTCTTGCACCGGTACTTCCCTCCCCCCCCCCACCATTTTTCCAACCGACTCGACCATCCTCCCACCCATTTCTTTTCCTCCGATCTGCCCGATTACCCCATCTATCCACCCTTCCGTCCGCACCTCCTCCATTTCACTTAAGAGCCCTCGGGAGCGCCCCATCCAACGTTCAACAACCTAGCCACCTACATGCCCGTTTGTGTCAGATGCGCAATTCGATAATTACGCGATTTTTGAGTCCCTTCTCCCCCCGTTCCACACACACATCCACAACGTGCGGAGAGGGCCATCACTCGGGCTGGAACCCCGCTAACTTCGCGGGACATTGCCGTCAGCTGCTCAGCAGCTGCGACCTGTCAGACTGTTCTCTCGCCGCCGCCTCCCGTAACGCCCGAAGGAACTGCCTGCCGCCACACGGCACCATCTGGGCCAGCTGAGGGCTGCCGGCGTGTGCCAAAAAAGGCAACTTGCGCAAAGTACGGCCGCTGAGGCCCTCACAAGCCGCCGCCGCGGCCAACAGCAAAGCGCTCAGGGACGCTGACGGTGACGCAGCGGCCGCCGCTGCCGTACCCGCGGCTCCGGAGCTGCCGCAGCCGTTGGCGACGCCGACGGCAGCGTCTGCCGTTCCCAACGGACCATCATCCCAGCGCCCCGTGACATGCAGGTTCGGTAGACGTACAGATAGGGCCGTCAGGTCGCGGTCAAGTGATGCGCCGTTAGGTTGTGGCGATGGTGTCGCTGTGAGGGCCGGATGCCCGTGGGGCGGAAGAAAGGAACCGCCAGCAGCAGCCGGTGCCGCTGGCGCAGCTGCCGCGCCTCTACTGGCGGCGGTGGCCATCTCAGCGGCCGCGTCGGCGGCGTCGGCGTACGGAAGGAGCAGCTGCGACATGTCCTCTGACCATGGAAGGCAGGTGGGAAGCGCGGGGCGTTTGGTGATTCGGTCGTCAGATCGACACTGCCTTTTGTTAGGGCTTCTGAAAGGACTCTACCGACGCAGTGCATCTTGTAATCTTTAATTTACATGCACACGAACTCCTACTCTCCCACCCGATGTTGGACTTGGACAGCAGCGAAGGCGACAGCAGCGACAACAAAACGGTTTATTAATTCACTTTCCTCACACCAACCGCATCATGTCGTCAATAACTACCACCCTCACCGATCACTCGCTCACCCGCAATAATTCCCGCTCGTCCTAGCTCCTGTACGGAGCCTCGAAGCATCTCGTACCGCGCCGCAAGGGTTGGGGGTCCAATGTAAGCCTTGTGCGGTTCCGAGAAACCCAAGTGGGATTTTGGGGGTTTGGGGCGGATTGCGTAAACGGCGTGCGCACAGTGTCACCTGGTCGGGCGTTGGGGCACGCCTCAATATGCCTCATACGTTCATACGGTGAGCCTTTTTGGTATCTGGTCATTTTATCGTACTACAATGTACGACACGGCTGTGAAACGTACGACAGGTGTACGAATCAACCAAGCCAGGACACCCACACCACTTGGCATGTGTGCTTTGAACATTTATGATGGCGCGGTGCATATTGAGTGCCTCGGGCTGCGACAACGAAATGTACGGGAAATGTACGACTTAGGCCAATATGACGCAGGGGGAGAAACAGACCAGACAGGACAGGGCCGGAAAAACGAGAAGGGCGTACGGAGCACTTGTCTGTATGTGCATGCATGTGTAGACAGCATGCACGTGTGCGCGACACGGTGTACCCGCTTCCATTCCAAAGTCATACGTTCTAAATCCCTACCCCCAACAGCTAAGCAAAACGTTTCTAGAAGCTTCCTTTCGAAAGCTCCCCTAAGACACCAGGCGCTAGCCCAACTCACCTTTATATCGGCTCGATCGACAAAGGCCACATCAATGGCTTGTGTGATGTTGGATGTGGTGAGCACCATGACGTTGGGGTAGCGGCGGAGGGCATCAAGCTGGGTGAGGAGCGCATTGACGGCGCGAATGGCGTCGGAAGGCTCGGACCCGGCAACAGCCGCCTTAAGGGAGGAGGGGACAGGCAGGGCAGGAAGAGATAAAAGGAGTTTGAGAAGGGGACGTAGGACGTGGTAGACGACACGGAAACGCGGCTTCGGGGCGCAGCCGCCGCCGCCGCCACCGCCGCCGCCGAATGAATCTCCCCTTGGATCTCATTTCATCTCGAGATTCTAGTTGCTTCTAATTTGGCACCGTCACGTTGCTATGTACGGCATCTTTCGTCACAACTCATAAGGCCTTGCCCCGTACTTTTCTTGCCGACGTGAGGCTCTCCACCTCGTCTATTAACACGAACACCAGGCTGTCCAGATCCTCCACCAGCTCAGTGATCTTGGAGAACAGACGACTGACCTGGAGAGAGAGAGAGAGAGGGGAAGGGGGGGAAAAGACGAACCACAAGCGAGTAAGCTGCTGCCAATGAAAGAGTGGGCTGCGGCCGATGTGCAGGAAGCAGGGGAGGGGGGAGATGAAAACGGGTGGTAGATTGGGAGCCGGAAGAGGTGAAAAGGGGTGTTTTTTAAACGCAAGAAGTAAAAGGTCAACTGCCGCCGTCTGAAAAGGAGAATGGGAGGTAGAATGGGGGAGATTACGAAGGAAAACTCCATGGTAAGGTAAGGTGGGGAGATGGGGGTGGTTTCGGGGGGCTGAAAGGGTTATATTCTCGCAGGTGGGAGTTCCGCCAAGAGCATATCTCCTTACCCCCGGGGGATAACCCAACGCAGATTTATCTTTCCTAACTTAGCAACCAAGCCCATAGCTCTCACAGGTTCTGCTTCTGTGTACGGCATGTCGTACACTCACCAGCTTTCCGCTTTCGCTAAAGTACTTTGAGAAAAGCGAGTGGGCATTGACCTCCACGAGGCACCCGTGCTGGTACCTTGGGGCGAGGAGGGGGGTTGGGGTGGGGGGCGGGTCGGCAAACGGTGCGGGGGGAGAGGGGGTGGTGGAGGCCCGCGGCAAGGGGAACTAAAGTCCACCTTCAGGGGTCGAAGAACTAAAGGGGACGTCATCCCCTTCTGGAGATTCATGAGGCAGAGGTGATGTGGGTGATGGTGACGAAGTGCAGTACCACATGGCAGTACGGTCCCGTACACACGCTAGTGGGCCCTTGATCAGTATCAGGTAATGTAATAACACACACACACACAAGCATACATACGTAGTACGCATATTAATCCTTCCCTTTTCCTCCCTCCACATACACATACATGCACGGGCACGAACACGCAAATACCTGTCCCCTAGGCGGATGCTCAGCTTGTGCGCAAGAGCCTTGCACAAGGACGTCTTGCCCGTGCCAGGAGGTCCGTACAGAAGAACCACCCTGCAGTACACCGTACGGCACCGTACCACATCGCATTGCATTTCACATAGGACGTACAAACCGACGACGTGGGAGCGGTGCAATGCTTGGCGCTGGAGGAAGTGGGGGAATGGGGGAGTGGACGAGGCGAGTTCAGACCGAACCTGACCCGCGAACAAGGAGCCCTTCGTTCGTGGGTGTCGGCGTGGGTATGCGTGCGGGTCGTAGGTCGTAGTTTCACCCCATACGCTGCCCCTTTCTCTCCCTCATTCCCGAACACTCTCCTACCTCCCGCACGCTATACAAACGTACATATGATGTGTGGGACAGGGGGGCAAATCTTCACCCTGTGGCCGCCACCCGGCGGAACCCTACCTTCCCCGATATTTCGGGGCTCCCTCATCTTGCCACCCTAGTCAACTTCTCAGTTTAGGTACCGCACCCACCACCAGCATCCAACGGAATCAGCCGGACCGACAGCGGCCCAACTGCATTACTGTTCGACTCCCGCGTCAACATTGACAAGTCGTAATTTACCGGGAGGATTATCGACCCTGACAAGTAATGATCCCGGGATCTCCCGGGGGCAATGGTCCGTGCCTTACCACTGGTTAGATACCAGTAGTGCCTAGCCTGATGTACATGTATGCATACATATTTGCATACATACATTCATACAGACGCACCCACCGGTTCCACGCCACAAGGTTGTTATTCACCCCCCGGTCCGCGAACAGGAGTGCGGAGGTGGCGTAGCTCAGCAGCCGCTGCTTGATGGCGCTGTCGTAATGGAGGGACTGAAGGGCGGGAGAGGAGGGAAAGACGAATCACGATCGAGTGGGTGGGAGGGGAGAGGAGGGGTGGATTAAGAGGGGGAGTTTTATATGCACAAAAGAACAAATTTCCACTGCCGACGTCCAAACCACCAACTGCTGGAGCCCAAATCGAACCTGGGGAAGTAAGAGCGGGTGGTGGTGGACGAGAGGGGGGAAGAAGGTGTGGGAAAGTGCGGGGTAGGGGGGGGAAGACGAACCACACACGATTGAAGCTGCTGCCAGGGCAAGGTAGGGGGGAGGGGAGTGCGGAGGGGTTGGCGGCGGCATCGCAGCTGGTATTTTAACATCAGGTCGAGAGGGTTTGGATAGGCCGCGAAGCAGATAATACATGCATACATACATGTCGATAGGCAAGGCTCAAGGCCTCCTGCAACCATTAAACCGGATCGGATCGGCACCATCAGCAGCAGCAGCAGCAGCAGCAGCAGCAGCCCAACACACCGCGGCAGCTGAACCCGCAAAGAAGCCCCCAACGCTGCGATAAATGGCGGGCAGCTGGAGGAGAAGGGGAAATTCTATGCACACACACACGCATATGCAGAATCCATATAATAAGCAACTGCCGATGCCGAGCGCGCCACCTGCTGCAGGGGTCCAAATTGATGACGCAAAGAAGGTAGGGGGGAATGGGGGGAATGGGGGAATGCCGGCAGCACTTCCCGGCTGCACCTTGGGGTCCTACACAGACGCAAACACGGAGCAGGGTGCTGTCAGACCGCAGTCCTCGTGGTCAGTGACCAAACGATGCAAATGCCATACGGTCGTACACCTTCCCCGTTGCCGTACCGCAGTCGTACCTCCCATTGGCCTTGCAAGTCCGCCGCTGGCAGCACCAGCTCCCGATAGCTAGGGACCCCCTCCTCGCCCTCGTCGTCGTCCTCTGGGCCGTCCTCATTCAGCTGAAGATACGGACAGTATGGTGGTATGGCAGTACGACAGTATGGCACAAAATTGGTACGATAATGGAATGGCAATGAGCTGCAAGAAGCCGTTCTCAAAGCGATGGGATGGGCCAGGTAGCGAAGCGGAATATCACACCCAACGTCCGCATCCATCGCAATTTCACTCAGTAAATCAGGTGATGAGGCGAGTTACGCAACAACGCACTTACAGCACTAGCACCACACATCACATCATGCAATGCGACGTCAGGGACTATAGGGAAGGAGAGGGACGTGCGGCGCGTTAACCGCTCACCTCCACATAACCCAGCCCGTTCCCAAACCCCGAAAACCCATCCTCCAAAACAATCCTTTTAACCATCCTCCACCCACCCATCTACCCTCGATCATTTTCTTAACTTTTTCATAGGACTACCCAACCACCCACCTACTCAACCGCCCAACCACCCACCTACTCAACCACCCAACCACCCGCCTACCTGATACACAAACACACGTGGCGTGTACTGCCAGAAGAGCAACGGGGAATGCAGTCGGTGCTGCTGCGGATCTGGGTGGATGGGTTTTGGAAGGGCGGGGAGGGGAGGGGGTGAAGGGGGGGGGAAAGACCAACCACGAACGAGTGAAGCTGCTGCCAAGGAAAGAGTGTACAAGAAGGGTGAAGGGGGGAGGGTGGGACCGGGGAAAGGAGGTGTTGGGCGGGGGAGATGGGAGGGGACATGGAAGGGATCTACGGGAGCTCGGGTCCGAGGTGGTGGGGAGGGATGGGATGCGGGAGGACGCAACAGCGGGATGGGTAGGAAGGGCGGGTGGAAGGCCGACTGCCCCGCAGCCATCTGAATAGGATGGGAGGCAGTAACCTTAAAAAACCGTCCAGAGTCTGCCACACATAGAACCCCAGGGGAACCATATTCCCTACTGAACCTTGTCACGACATGGTTTGCCGTACGCACGTGTTTTATCGATGCTAGAGTCGTATGACGCGACAACCTGCACATAATGCTAATAACATATCGGACCGTACGCCGCCACTGTGCTGCCAGCTTATGAGCAGTATATGCAGGTTGAGCAAGGGGGAGGGGCCCGCTTTTGTAAGACCAACGACGTCAACTGCTGACGCTGATGGATCTCTCCAGCCAAGCACGAACGAGATTATGGCTCCCCCTGGTGCGCCAACTGGAAGCTGCATGGACCGGCTGATGATCCTTTCCAAAGCTCAAGCCGTTGCCGTGCTTTTGTCCCTTCCCACACAAGTTGGGGACATATAAGTGGAAATTTGTTTGCCAAGGATTGCGTGATCCGGGTGTCAGGAAGCAGCAGCCCCAGGGAGCGGAGAGCACAAGAAATCGTCTCTTCCCGTTCAGATGGACGTCGCGGAATCAGCCAGAGGCATACCATATACGAACCAACCACATGAAGACTGCAGCGACCCAGATGCGAGTAGACGGCTTTCCTGGAAGAAACCCAGATTGATGCATTGATATGGATGGGTTGCTGACGGTTGCTGACCCAGATCGATATGGTTTGCTTTGCTTGGTAACCCAGATCGGTGTCGATAACAAAGTGTGCAAATGTGTGCCACGGCTTGAGTTCTATCCGCCATTTGAAATTTCGTAGGATTCTGATTCATTCCGTCTTCGCTTCCCTTCCTCTTTCCATTTTCCTCACCCATTTTTCCTCCCCGCATCCCCGCGCACCCGCAACCCCTTTTCCTTCTTGTGTTGCTGCTGCCCACCATGCCGCCGTCACCTGTGTCGCAGATGGTCACACTTTCAACAATGCTGAGCAGTCCGGAGTCCTCGCATTCGGACAAATCCAGAGGCCCGTTGCGGTACCAGATGGTGCGACCCTCAAGGAACCTGCGGCAAGCCAAGGAAAGGAATAAAATCTTGACGGGAAATATGAAAAAGTTCATGCTGTTATGATAATGTGAAGAAGGAAGAAGGTATTGACAGATAGGAAAGTGGATTCTGACTAATTAAAACGTGCATGCTTGAAGGGCGAGGATGTTTGACGGATGTTCATAACGGGAAAGAAGTGCGGATGACTTTACGTAGGGCTGGTCTGTGGCTAGGGCTCAGGTATGATGGCAAGCAACGTCGCACACACCTGGTCAAGGCGTCCGCGATTTTGCGGGGGCTGCAGACGCTGTTGGCCTTTTGGCACACCTCGACTGCAAAAAGAATGCCAGCATGCTTTGATGAGGCGGCACTCCCTTACGGGTGTCATTACGGCGGTCGACAACACCGCGTGGGTGGATGTAGCGGGCTTCCCTGCACGCGCATAAAATAGGACCCACCGCTCACAGGGACCTTGTAGTCCTCTGCATCATCTTGCTCAAAGCTCATGGGCTGGCTGCCAGCGCCATCTGTGTGGAAGTCCATTCCCTACTCTCTCCAATCCGTTAACAAAATCGAAACTGTGCCTCGGAGTCAATTCCAAATCGGTACTAGCGATCTGCTCACATCGCTTTCGCCAAGCAAGTTGCGTTGCAACGTCAAGCTAGCTGCGATGCTACATTCAGAAAGTCCAGCAGACATCGCAGTTCCCGCGATAGTTTGGCTGGTTTCGGAGCAGCAAAACTGCCCATGACAAATCCTGACCCTCTCCCACTTTCCCAGCCTGCACCATGTCCGCTTTCTTGCAGGGTGTGTGAAGTTTACAAGGCGTGGTAAGTTCAAATGGATAGCAATAATAGGCCTCCTCTTCTGCTGGTTCCTCCGGGTCTGCGCGCTGGCCGAGACAAACAGCTTCGCATAGACCAGTACCTCCCAAACCCAAAGCGACCTCGGAAGCTCGACAGCTCACCAAATCCACAGCTGAAGCCTCCAGATGAAGCACCTACTGCGCCTGCAGCATCCCAGCCTTCGTTGGAAACCGCAAACGGTAGCGGTGGCGGTAGCTCGAGCAATCCTGCTGCGATCAGCGCTCGTTGCCAAGTCAGTAATTTAGCGCTGGAGGCCTACTTACAACTTTACTCGGCGTTGACCAAAGGAACCGGCGTGGTTCAGCAGGTAAGGGAAGCGCTTGCTCCGTTACGTGGAGGTTCCCACATCCTTGTACCCAAATTATCCCGGTGCTTAAGAAAAGTTTAAACAATTATTCAACAACTGTAAGTTCCCTGCAAATACATAATCTTACTATGGGAAAAAGGTAGCTCAAGAAGACATGTGTCCCTTGTTACGGCCCGCGTCCGCGTGACCGTTGCGGTTCCCGAACTGCCTGCGCGCATTTCATTAGGAGAATGGGGAATTTCGAAATGCCCCTTCTCCAATTATCCTAACCTCCCGTACGCCCACCATTCGCCAACTCCCCAGCGCCTGGCTAATGTTATATGCCGACCCACTAATCGCGTGCGCGCACTGGGACGCTCAACAACACCCCTTTCCCGTTAAACGACTCAGCTCGACGCAGCTCCACCCACCTCCACTTACCTAGGTTGACTTCGATGCAACCAAAACCATACTAAGTTGAGCGAACCCCCACCTTCAGCTCACATTAACGAATCTGAACTCACATTACCGAACCTCAACTCACACCAACTAACCTCAACCCAATTTAACCAACCCCAACCCACTTCAACCAACCCCAACTCACATCATTGAAGTGAGTTAAGGTTTGGTTGATGTGGGTTGAGATTGACATCCTGGCACCTCGTCGCAATCCACTTCACAACCCCTACCCCTTCCTCGCCCAACCGATGTACCGCTGAGCACCCTAGCTTCACCCTTACCTCGCCCCATGGTGGGAGCCCACGCAGGTCAGTCCCATTGAGGAGCCCTTCTACAAGATTACCGACCTGCGCGCCCTGTTGGACGCCCACGGCCTGGTCTTCACTCGCAACAAGAAGCGCGAACTGCTCGACCGGCTGGAGGGACTTCGACTAGTGCCGCCCGCTCAGCCACAGCAGCTACAGCAGCTACAGCAGCTACAACAGCCAAAGCAACCTCTGCCACAGCAGGAGCAGCAGCGGCAGCAGCATCGCCAGTCGCTGCAGGAGCGATGCGGCGACAAGGAGGCGTTTATTGCTGCCTGTGGTAATGCGTTTAGCAACGCGGAGGATCGCGAAATGAAGCAGCAGGACCGATTGCCACCGCCGGCCCCGCAGCAGCAGCAGCAGCAGCAGCAGCAGCAGTCGCGTTTGAGGCCCTGGCAGCTGCCACGAGCTCCTGAGGCGCCAGACCTGGCGGCTCTAGCAGGCTGGGCCACCGCCGGTGGCGGTGGCGGCGGCAGCGGCGGCAGCGGCAGCGGCGGCGGCGGCAGCGGCAGCGGCAGCAGTAACTACCCGGAGGTCCAGCAGGCACTCCTGGAGGCCTTTGCTGCAGCGCCGGAGATCGGTTTCGCCATTCCGTCATCGATCCGGACGCTGGCGGCGACCCCTGCTGGCAGCGGCGGCGGCGAGGAGGGCGAGGACATTCGCGATGACGAATTGAGCGGCGTCCCGAGCATTGAGGGTGTTGGAGTTGGTGTGGGCGAGGAGGACAGCGACGCGCGCCGCTGGGCCCCGGCCAGGGCCGGTGGCGGCGACGGTGACGGCCGCGACGGCGGCACGTCGGGGGCCGCAGTGGTGACGGCGACGGTGACGGCGGCAGCGACGGGGGTGCACGTGCATGGCTCGGCCGACGATGTTGGTGCCGGGTCTGAGTCGTGGACGGTTGGGCTGCAACATGGATTGGATCCAGATCCAGGTTTGAATCCGGATCCAGATCCGGACTGTGTTCCGTGGTCCAAGGTGAAGAGCCGGGTGGTGGGGGAGTTGCAAGGTAGGAAGGTCAGTGCTGTTGCCGCCGGTGGCGCTGGCGGCGGTGCTGGCGGCGGGAGCAGGCCTAGCGGCGGCGGGCTGAGGTCAACGATGCCAGGAAAAACCCAGGCCGAGCCGGAAGGGCCGAAAGGAGACCCACAGGTACAGCTACAGCAGCTACAGCAGCAGCTACAGCAGCATCAGCTCTTGACGCAGCTGTTACAACAGCAGCACCCGGCTGCGCAGCCGCAACCGCAGCTACTGCAGCAATTGCTACAGCAAATGATTGCACAACAGCAGCAACAGCGCCAGCCCTCTACGGCATCGGACCGCCGTACTAGCAGCGATGGCAGCGGTGCCCCCGGCGCCCCCGCCATTGCCGGCGACCTGCTGTACACGCGGGGCTCCCGTCAGCAAGTCCTGGTGCTTGGCGGCGGCGGTGATGACGACGAACACGATGACGATGACAAGGGTGCCGATGGTGGCGGAGCGTACGGCAGAGGCGGCGGCGGACGTGATGTTCGTGGGGATATGCAGCTTGGGGAGGAGGAGGAAGAGGATGCGGAGGAAGCTCCGCCAGCGGAGGGGGAGCCGGGGTCTGATGGGGAGGTTCCTCTGGGTTGCAGCAGCCCTGGGGGCTCTCAGGACTGCCGTCTGGCGGTGTCAGTATTAGAGTGGCTGGCTCCCGAAGTTATCACCTTCAGCCAGGGTAGGGTAGGGCAGGGGGGTAGGGCAGGGGATAGGGCAGGGGGTAGGGTAGGGGGTAGGGTAGGGTAGGGCAGGGCAGGGGGTAGGGCAGGGGGTAGGGTAGGGTAGGGCAGGGGGTAGGGTAGGGTAGGGCAGGGGGTAGGGTAGGGTAGGGCAGGGCAGGGGGTAGGGTAGGGGGTAGGGTAGGGTAGGGCAGGGCAGGGGGTAGGGCAGGGGGTAGGGCAGGGGGTAGGGCAGAGTAGAGGAGCAGGGTGGGTCAGTGCCGGAGCTTAGTTGTAGCTTGGTGTTGCATGTTATGTATGTGTGTATGTATGTTGTTACAGGGTGGTATAGCTTCACCAGCGGCCCCCTTACCCGAGGTAGCTCCCTGCTCTCCCCTGCGAGAGGGGCACCCTAATCCATTCACCCCATCCGACATCAGAATGTAATCGTTGGGTTCAGCAACTCGCCAAAAGCATCCAACCAAATCTAGCGGATCAACGGCGCCTCAATTTAGTTCCTGATCAGCTCGCAAATTGATATTATCACGTCCTGCACCGTCCATAAGATGGGGGGCCACCTCCCTACTCATCGCTCCTCAAACACCCGAGGAATCGGCAGGTGTATTTGAACCCGGGTGGTCCGGGAACAGAAGCCAGGCCTTAGCCTCTGTCAGCCACCTGCCAGTATGTATGTTGTGTGTGTGCGTGTGTGCGTTTTTGGCCGCCAGGCACGCTAGGCTGGGTAGGATCATCGGCCCAGGGGTGACCTAAGAGCCCTCTCCCGCCCTCGGCGCTTTCATAGTTCGGTATGGACACATGATGTGAATGAAGGCTCTCAGGAAGGCTCCCGCCTCTCCGTCTCAGGTGTTTGTTCCTTCCGCCCATCCCCCCATCATGCGTCAGGAGGAGGAAGAGAACCTTTGCAGCCCTCCCGCCCGTGCACATGTTTTTGTGCGTGTTTGCGTGTTGCACCTCCTTGAGCTGCGCTACTCTCTAGGCTAAGGTGTAGCCTAGGGGCCCATACCTGGAGCCCTGAGGGGGCCCAAGGGCCTGCAGCCTGGCGCTGTCCCAAGCAGGTAGACAACATAAAACAACGCATAAGAAAGACTTTTCCATGTAAGCTGGACGTTCCCGTGGTGAAGGAACTGTCCTTTTAACTTCTTTCTTGCCCCTTCCCGGGCTTTCATTTTTTCAATCCCCACCCGTCTCCCTCCCCCGCATAGCAGCTGATTTCTGCAATTTGCAAATGATTTCCCTTCCAACCCTCCTTTCACACACGGCAATCTACCTAACTCTCCTTCCGCTGCATCACCTTTTTTGTTATATCTTTTTTACGTGACATTATTTTAATTAATTCTCCCTCACCGTGCAACTTCCGCGCCTCGGTCCCAGCCCACTCCGCCAGCTCCGAGCCCCTGATCAGCAGCGGACAGCTGCTGGGGCGCAGAGTGGCCTTCGCACTGCCGACGGAGTTTAGGTACATGGATGCCAGGGCGGGGGAGGAGGTGCTGCCGCCGGGTAGGTGAATGGATGGGTGATGGCGGGAGAGAAGTGTCCACAAAGCCTCGAAAGCACTACTAGTTCATGACCTCATAAACTGTGTGGATTTCTTCCTTGCATTCCGCTTTCTGGATCCTGGTTTTTGGAATCTGCTTTCTTTAATTCTGCTTTCTGTCCTGTCCTGGAGTCCTATAGAAGCTATTTCCCCCTTTTGTATCCCCCCACCCCACAAAACCAACTTACACTCCGAAACCCAACTCCGAAACCACCACAGGTGTGTACCAGGGCCGCGTCACGGAGAGCCTCGGTCGGGGCTGTCAGGCCGACGTGTGTGGAGCCCACCAGGAGGCACAACAGGACGACGCAGAGGAGGAGGGGGAGGGAGGCTGCTCGGGGGCGGGGGAACATGACTTCTTCTTCGTCAGGGTCATGACGCAGGTAGGCGGAGGGCAGGGGGGTAAGACGAACCACCGATACATAACCACTAATAAAGCAGATACCAGAGATAGACGATTACTCCAGGGTTAGACAGATACAGCATCAGGAAAAAATCCTAAGTTACTGACCAGTATTGAGTTGGATAGGGCAGGGGGGTTAGGGGGATTACAGTACCCGCACAGGTGCGGGGGGAAGGGGCCATTCAAAGCCGGGGGGCCATTCGGCCATGAACCGTTCGTAAAGTTAATGTTACGGACGGTGTCGGGGGCGACTGTCGACATCCTCCCGGCTCCGTTTGAGCGGGTAAAGCGCCGGAGCGCTGCGTGCCTAGTCTCCTCCCAGACTTCGAAGAGAAAGCTAGCTATTGCCATGGTTAGGCAGGGCCGGAGGAAGAGGATATGGGGCGGACAGGTATGAAGGGTCCAAGGATAGGGGGGAAAGGTAGGTAGGGAGGTAGGTAGGGCGTAGGGGAGCGGGGTGGGTCAGGGGTGCAACAACACGAAGGGTTTTGATTGGAGAGGTTGTCCGATCTATCAGAGGTCGTCAGGTGGGACAGGACGGGGGGGGGGGGGCTAATACAGAAACCAAGGGTGAGATCGGCTGGTGGTTCATACCAGAGGGAGCCGCCGGCAGTGATGCAACCTGGGTCGATGTTGTCGTTTCCAAAGGGTTTGATCCAACTCTTCCTCTCTGTCCCCGGGAGTGAATACGGGCCAACGCGACTGTACGGCATAGTACGGCGTCGATGTTTCGGGGTTCATTACCCTGGCAGGGTGGTTGCAGTTTCTCGACCTGTCTAGTGGCGGCGTGGGTCCCTTCTTCGCTTCTTCGCTGCCCCCCGCTACATATGCACGGACTTCCTCCTCCCTCCCCTCGTTTTTTCCCTAACCCTCGGCCACCGGCCCCCCTCCACATACCTGCCGGTAAGCTGCTTAAGGCAAAAGGTTCCGGAATGCTCCTAACAACATGCCGTTGCGCCACATTGATTTAGGTTCCGGCGGCGGTGTTTTCTTTGGACGTCGGCAGACTCTTTCGGATGCAACTTTCCCTTTCCCCCCCTCCCACAGCCTCATCTGGGCATACGAGGCCGATTGGAACTCAAACTGGATCTGTCAGCCGCCAACAGGGTATCCTCCTTCCAAGAGCTGGTGGGACTAACCCTAGGACAACTGCAGGACGCCTGGGTACTCATAGGCGGCGGAGGAGGGCCCGCGACCGCCCAAGAGAGAACCATGGGTCGCTCGGCAGCGGAGGAAGGGCAAGGGACACACGCATGGGGCTTGGGTAGGGGGCGGCGAGGGGGCACGGTGGGAGCGGGGACGGCCGCGGGAGGTCGCCAGCAGAGGGGCGCGGGCGGGAGGGGGCCGGGCATGGCGGTGCAGAGGAGCTTTGGAGGCAGTGGAAGGTCGTGTGGCGGTAACAGCTGCGGGTTTGGGACATGCGGTGCCGGGGGTGCTGGGACGAGCGGTACGGTGGTGGGTTTGGGGGCCCGAGGTCGCGGTGGTGGCCAGTCGGGAGCGGTTGCGGGGCGGCCCAGCAGCGACGGTGGCGGACGTGGGTCGATCCGCGGCGGTGGCGGTGGCGGTGGCAGAGCCGCGGGGGCCCTGGTCGGCCCCAGACGTGGGGCTTATAGGTGACGAAGGCGGTAAGAGGCAGGTGGGGGGAGGGGAAAGCGCGGAAGGGCGCTTGCGCTTACGTTCTGGAAGTCTAGGTTGCTCTGGTTGCTGGGTGTTTTGAATGTTTGAATGCAACAGCTAGTGTACGCTCTCGTGTATGTATTGTACGTGCGACAAAGCAGCCTCGGCACGCAGGTGCGCTGGACCGAGCTTGGTGACTGCAGCCTGCCGTACATCAAATTTTCCTTGGAGACGGTCCGGTGTTATGTACGGCCCTACGCGACTCTCATGCGGCGGATTATATCAACACCTACAACTGCCCAACCCGACATTCTTGGCAAGGTCCAAAGTGTAGCGGGAGAGAAACAAAAGTGGTGTCACGATTCGTCCCCATCCTTAGCCCCCGCAAGGACTCGTGCGGAACTTGTAGCTTGTAACTTAGCCCGCAATAATAAAAAAAGAATAATAATGAGTACGCCGGTCGCAGCCTGGCGTGCGTTAAATAGGGGAGACTGAGAGGGGTTTTGGCACTTAGTCTGTGTGTATGCCCACTGTATGCCCACATCACCATCTTATCTGTAGTCCGAAGGAAACATGTTGATTACACCAACACCACGCGCTCAACAGGCGATGGCACATCATGGGTCTCAAATACTTTCTAGGGCTGTCTCTTTTTCTCTCCCTCTCCTTCCTTCCTTCTCTCCCTCTCCTTCCTTCTCTCCCTCTCCTTCCTTCTCTGCCTCTCCCTCTCCCTGTCCGAAACATTTCCCACTCGTTATGCTTCCATGCGTTGCGATTATCCGGGCGTCCGCACGTCCGCCTTCCCAGTATCAAGTTTGCTTCAATGCCGTCCTCGGACCCGCTTTCCGTCCCCCACGTCGCATCGGTTTCAGTTAAGAGATTGCCGCACAGTAATCCGCGGCTTGCCCTAACCGCTGCGTTCTGGCCAATACCGCAGAAGGGTGCCCTCGGATTTCTCAGTAGATATAGCAGAAGGATAACCCATCTTAACCTTCAAAACAGTGGTTGAGGTTGAGGTTCGCTCGAGGTTCGCTATAATCCGCATTTGTCAAACGGCACCCCCGTACCTTCGTTTAACTCTTAAGACTCCCGACTCTCCAACCCGGAACGTCGCCGTGTTGGCCCTCAAAGGTAATCCCCGCCCGCGCGCTGCTCCCGCCGTTGCGGAGCGGCTATCTGCATGGCCGCCGCCTGCACGGCGCCGCACTTTGATAGGCGTGAGTCAATGGCGGCCAGCGCTGTGAGGGGGTAGTTGGTGACCACGGCATCCACTCCCACATCCAGGACCGCGCGAAGGACCTCCGCCTGGTTGATAGTCCAGGCGAACAACTGCTTGCCTGCAGGAAATACGGCGTATTGGGCCCGTAAGGAGGGCAGAAGAGGGCAGGGGGCCCCGTGGTGTGGAAGGGAAGGTGATGGGGGGAGGGGAAAGCGCAGGTTAGGTTTGCTGTGGACGCCGGCGGTGGCAGCAGTAGCTTCAGCAAATAGCAGCAGGGCCTGGCAGGTATGGTGACAGGAGCCAATAACCCAGCACGAGGAAGACATGGACGTGAAAGGAGGCGGATAAAGGAGGAGAAAATGAGCAACGGTAGGACGAGGAGCAGGACATGAGGAGGAGAAGGTAAAAAGGGAGGTGCAGCAACTGGTCAGGCCTGGTCCAATGTTGCTTTTATGGCGTCCAGGGGCATGGAACGGTCTGCCTGAGATGTGCAACGTATGAACACCCCAACGCGACCCCACTCGTACCCACTCATCCTCCCTTTCGCCCATCCGCTCGCGCATACACAGCCCCCCGCATCCCGCCACCACCACTCACCTAGCGCATCCTAACCACGGCACATCCCGATGCGCACAACCCTCTAACCTGCCCCATGCAACATCTCCAGCAGCTGCGGTTCCACCATGGCGAAATGAACCCCCACAACCGCCGGCTCGTCAGGGCGCCAGCCGCCTCCGGGCTGATGGGATGTAGGCTGCGATGGTTTCGGAACCTGATGGCTTGGCGGACGGTCCCGCCGCTGCCGCCGCCGCCTCCAGCGCCCATCGCCACCGCCGCCCGGCGGCAGTAGGATTCCGTCGTTGTCCTCGTCGTCCTCTTCGACGCCGTCTTTGGCAGCCTGGTCTTGGGCGTAGTAGCCGAGAGGCCCCGAACGGGCGCCTTCGGCTCCTGCGGTTGCAGCCTCGGCGGCGCCGCCGAACCTTAGCGGGTGTTGCATACCTAGCTGACGGCTTTCCTCGGTTTCGTTCATCACAATATAACCAGTGCGCTGACCTGGTGTAAAGTTCCGAACAGAAAAAACAGCACAAAAAGATCACAATCACTAGTTTGGCAAGGGGATCAGAGGTTATTGAATATATAAATAGGTTTTGGCATATCCTGCGCGGGAGATAAGATTTGGAAGGGATGTCCGGTTGGGCGACCCCCCCCCAAAACGCGTTGACCTAAATCGCCTGGCACGGGTTTCGTACCCTTAACGACCAACTGACCTGCGGGTCACCCGCCACTGATGCACGCGCGATTACCGTGTCCAATTAAACCGCGGGCCGCTAAGCGGCCCAAAAAAAGCGATAAAAACTGACCACGGGCTTCAGTGATCTGCGCTGACCCACGGGTCACCTAACCAACACTCCGCAAGCGTCATTCACTAACCCGGCGACAGCTCCAGCACCCGCCGCACCACTCGGTCGCTCTTGGCCCAGATGAGGCAGTTGGTACAGCGAGTAGCCGCCACAAGGCTCACCAGTGCCTCAGCGATGGCGAGCTCGTCCAAAGGTTCCCCCGCCTACAGAAAAGCGCCGCCGTACAGAAACCGCACCATCAACACAGCGCTTGACGAGGGCATATACGCTAGCATCCTTACAACTTGGTTACTTGTAAGAACTTCTAACCTTTAACGGCCATGGTAGGCGAACCAGTCTAGCACCCATCCCGTCCCCCTACTGCACCTCCGCTGCCGCACCTTATCGTTATAGGTTTTGACGTCCAGGGTTACGCAGGACACGAAGGGCGACGTGAGTCGTACGGCCTCCTCCACACTCATCACTGCCTCTCCTGAGGGCCATCGCAGGGACAACAACTCTGAAGAGGGAAGATCGCCCACCTAGGAAAAAAGGGGCAAGTGAAAGGGGTGGGGTCGTTACATAGGAAAGGGGTAAATGAAGGGGAAGAGCGAAAATGCGTGAGGGGTCTTCATTACGAAGATGCACATGAAATAAATTACGCTATGAAGCGATGCGGCAGGCAGAAAGAGGGAGAGTGAGAGAGAGAATGTGTGTGTGTGTGTTTAATTATCTGTGTTCGTGTGTTCGTGTGTCTGCGTGTGGAAACCGTATTTGTGACCTGCATCCTGTACCGGGAACCTGTACTTCGGTCAAATCTTCATTCCATGACCACCCAGGCCGCCAAACCTACCTTCCCTGCCTGCACTCGCCAACATCCTCGCCAACATCCTCGCCAACATCCACGCCCACCTGCACCCCTCTCCTCCCTAGCAGCTGCGCCAGCTCCCGCACGTGCATCACCACCAAGACGCCGTCTCGAGAGAGCGCCGCATCCACCTCCACACAGTCCGCGCCAGCTGCCAGGGAGGCGCGAAATGCTGACACGGTGTTTGGCGGCGCGTGGGTTGTGTCGCCTCCGTGGGCGCATACCAAGGGAGGCCGGGTCTGACAGCGGAACGGGAAGGGGGAGGGAGGGAGAAGCGGAGAGGCGGCGGCTTGTTAGGAAGGAAAGGAAAGGAAAGGGAAGGAAGCGATACGAACCTTACGCAACTGTGTCACGAAGATCACCTCACTCCCACTGGCCTTCACCCCACCCCACACAAATGCGGTGTATGCAATGTAGAATGCAATGGTATTGGAAAGACAGGCGAAGAAAGCAAAGGTTCCCCCAGGTCCCCCCAGGCTGCGATCAGGGGGCGTAGCTTACTCGTCGGCAAAAAGACTGGCTGGGAGGCGCCAGCAGGGCTTCCGACTCCCTCGCACGTTTCTGTGCCACAGGCAGTTCGTGACGCAGATACCAGACTGCCAGGAGCGTGGTGGCGACGCAAGCCGCGATGACGAGGAGGAAGGCGCGGAAGAGGGGTTGTTGCGCCCGGTTGCGAGGCAAGGGCTGTAACCTAAGGGGATGTGGGCAACGGATGGAGTAAAGAGGACCGTGAGGTCGGTTGGCGCGGTCGGCCTGTGCGTTTTGGGTATAGTTGGGTCGCCGCAGCAGGTTTTTCCTTGCCTTCCTGCATCAATGCTCTTCGTGAAGGGCACGCTTGTGACAAGGTGCAGCTGTTGCAGCGCTGCTGTGCCAGTGACTTGCGATGGTCCAAAACGTACAGTCGACTTCATTTATATCTTTCCTTCTGTGCTGGCATTATTTCCTATTTCATGGTGTTGATAACTTCGGCAAAATCACGTGTTACATTTCTTTGCTTAGGTCAACGAAGGGCGGGAGTTGGTATTCGGTCGTACAACTCCCTGGGTTTTCTCCGCCACACCAAGGTTTTGAAGCTTGGCACAATTAAAACTTAGATCATCTCGCATCTTACCTACATCATCTGGCAGGCGCCATTGTAAGATAACAGCCGCACAACTGAGTCGTCGACTTAAATTACAACCGCATTAAGCGTTGATCGGACAATGGGCAAAGCATCCCAGTCATTGGGCGTTTCTATCCTGGAGAAGATTCTCATGGTGCGCCAAGGAGTTGCTTCACTCCGCTTGCTCGCAACTGCCGCTGCAGAGCTACTCGATGCCTCTGCCGCGCAGGTTGTCCTGGGCATTGTTGCTGGCATCGTCATCGGTTACTGCGTCATGGAGACCGCGGACATGGTGCGTACTTGCCGTCAAACATACATAATCCATCTATGCAAAGCGTCATTCAGCATGGCCATCGCGTTCTCCTGTCCCCTTCCCACCGGCAGGCCTTCGGCGTGGGTACCGACAACAAAATCCTCCAACAGCCGGTCCACACTTGATAGCACGTCTCAGCGCGCGCATAACCTGGGCGAGCATGCCAGTCAAACACGAATCTCCCTACAAGCCAAAATACGTGGCCCCTCCCCCACGAAGCAGCAAGCTTGTCTGTTATCCGATTTCATCCGACAATCCATCTCGCCACAAGACAGTACTCCCCCGCAGCGGACATGCAGCACACTCCGCCTACCCGCCCCGCGACCCCGAGTCCCCGACTCTGCCAGTCAACCCGCCTCCCGGCGGCGGTGCGGGGGAGAAGGCCTCGGTCAACGTCCCAACGACAACCTTCTGTTGGCCCTGCTGCGCCATCGCGTTGACCTCCGCTCGTGTTTTGAGCAGCGCTTGAGCCTCTGCCACGTCGCCCCGCTGCCAGGCTATTAGCGCTGAGCTCTGCAGTGCTCGACCGAACGAAAATGACAGCGCCCAGGGCCTGTGCGTGGGAAGGGGGAAAGAACGCAAGAACGCCAAGAGGCACACGGACATACATACATACATACATTTGTAAGAAGCAATAAGGGGCAGGGGCCACAGTTGGGTGGTGCTACATCATTGCAGCAGCAGACAAGGGCATCTATCCAGATGACTCAGGCAGCGACGCTGTCGACAACGACGAGGATGCATTAGACGCAGGGGCCCGGAGTGAAGGCCAAAACGAAGCCACCGAAGGAAAGGCGGGTCAAGGCCTGATGAGGTGGATTCCACATGTGTAGAGATGACTCAGTACAATGCAGTCGAAACTTGCTGACGAGCTCGGCGAATTGAAACCCCAACAACCCCAAAACACGACACGTTTGAATGTGTGCGTGTGTGTGAGAGCGCCCAGACGGAGAGAGTTTATGTGGTAGGGTGGCAAAATGGAAATCGCTTGTTCACGCGGCAATGGAGCAGCGTGTGCTGTCTGAGGCGGGTCGGAACGTCGTGACGTACGACATCATCATCGCTAGGTGCGCGTGTTGTTAATAAAGGATAGTGATGGAAGTGATCACCATGACAGTGGTTGCAACGAGAAGGGATAACACAGGACAGTGCTGTACAATGCGGTACAATTTGGCAGCATAGCGTCGTTCGGACATCGGCTAGGTTTATGCTACATGGTGTATGTGTGTTTTTAGGTATGTCTGTATGTCGTGTATGGTGGTTAAGAGTGCAGGGGTCACAGACTCACAGGGGTTGCTTCCCTGCCAGCATCCGCTCCTGAGCCAGCCGGCTAATTGCCAGCAGGTTGGCGGTCGTGGCCGCCTCACCCTGGCCGCCGGACAGGAACACGATACCGGGAACGACCCGTGGGACGGTCCGTAGCAATACGCGTAGCGTGGCGTTGGCGACCTGAGGTTACGATGGCGGGCAAGGAGGTTAATGGAATGTGTAGGGAGACCTACCGCGGCGGTGATGGCGCCTGTGCATAGCCAAATGGCGGGAGTGGATCGGGCAATCAATTTGGTCATTTAGTCGTGGCGACGGTGCTAGTAATCGTGTTCCATGAATGAAATTGGATTCAAATGAGGCGTATGTCGAGGCGTGATAAAATGTGGCGTTGCGTTGTGTTCGAAAATGTGTTATCGCGCGGTGGCGGGTTTGGGGAGGAGAGAGGGGACGGGTGCATTGACTGCTACTTTTACTAAACTTCTTTCCTAAACCCTCATCTCTAGCCGGAAATCTGCACTTGCGCTATCGCGTAACGTCCGAGTTCCCATGTCTTTTCCCCGTTGAAAACATACATACACACGCACCTTACAAACACGCACGTGTCTTTCTGAGTCTCATGGAGCTCTCCCCCCACGCACCTGGTCCGGCTCTGCCTGTACGGCAGCCTGCTGACCAGGAGTCACAAACGCCACCTTGAGCAGCAAGCCCCCGGGATCCACGTCGGGCTGACGCCGTAGCGCACGAAACACACCACGAAGAACCTGAGGACCAGGGGGTAAACGTGGAGAGATACAGAGAGGTAAAAATGTCAAAAATAAAAAAGTCAAAGCGACAATAATACCCGAAAAGTCTCAACTACCAGCTGCCGAAGTCCCAAGCCAAGAAAAGAAAAGGACGACAGCTGGAAGGACACCAGAGTAAGTTAGGGACAAGGAGGGTGGTCCCCTTATGGGAAGACAGCCAACGAAGTTAAAAGTAAATGATAGGCCCCCCAACGCATGAGTCAGATATTTGGATGCGCGCTGGGAGCACAGCTGGAGGACAGCTGACGCTATCACGGAGACGTCGCCGTCGTTATCGTACACGCAATCCCTCACACTTTGCCGCCGTACCCGTGCTGCTGCCGCTGCGGCGCGCTGCAGGTCGTGATCTCCTTCCGCCAGCACCTCGGGCTCCAGGATGGGCAGCAGGCCGCAGGTCTGAGCCGCCGCCGCGAAAGCCGCCAGATCAGCGGCGTTGCGGCGGATGGCGCCGCAGCTGGGTGTGTGGCGACCCACGCGGAATACGGCACGCCATTTTGCAAATACGGCACCGCCGCGTTCGCGAAAGCGCGTGCAGCGCGCGGCAAGCCCCTCAAGCCCCTGGCACAGTCGGTGGGAGAGGGGCGAGTGAACGGAAGATAAAAAAAGAGAACAGAAACCGTAAAATCAAATGGCAATGACCCGCAAATGAACAGTGAAGCCCAGCAAGCGTTCAATAAAAGTTCACGGGCGATGTGTCTGTGGGGTGGGTGGGAAAGGATGGGGGGGAGGGCGTAGGGTGGGTTGAACAACCCCAACACCCCAGAAGTCGAACACACTCCGAACCCGGATATGTCACGCCAGGCCTCCACGGCGTCCTGGTCCGATTGACTAGAGGAAACCAAGGCCGCGCGCACCACAACAATATCCCCATCGATCCCGCCTACCCTTCGACTGCGCTCCTAAGCAGGCACGTAAAACACGCGCATGAAGCACTCTTTCCCCCGATCTCTGATACGCACACAAACACACACACATATACACGTGTTTCCTTCAACAAAGGATAGGACCCCACCTACCCGTGTCGATCGCTCCCCCGCTTTCTTGGGCTGCAGCGGCACTGTCCCCTCGTCCAGCTTGATACCCACAGCTATGCCGCGAGAGGCTGCCGACTGAACATCCGGGCCACCGTGGATGAACGTCTCCTCATGGAGGATCTGAAGGGTAGGAAGAGGGGTTTCGGCTGCGATGTGTAGGGTGCGGGATGGGGTGCGATGGGCCTGTGCGCAGCTTTCCTAAAGACTTCTGATCATAGGGCTTAACGGACTTGGCAATTGGTCAAAAAAATTTTGGTCGTTGAAGGCTTTCCTCCGCAGCAGCGCAATCTTCGGACTTTGGAGATCACGGAGGGGTGTAACCGACCCATGGCGACCCCGTCTGGTCGGCCTCCTCTACCAGAAGCTATTACTTGGCGCAAAGAAACGGAGGTACCACCGGGTGCTGCTACTGCTGCGATTCTTTAAATATGGGAACTCACCAGGCCTGAGATGTGGTCCTCTAGTCCGGGAGCCGAAAGGACTGCATGGCGCCATTGCCGCCGTACAGCGAGCGTGTTAGGAACGCCCTTGCCCAGTAGCTTCCCAAAGGTGGCCGGGCTTTCATCGGCCGCAAGAATGCCCTTGCTGGGATGCAGCAGCTGCCGAGCGATATCCCGGAGGGCCGTGTTAGGGGGTGCAGGACGCGTTTGGGTGCTGCCGGTGGTGGCCCAGTAGGTCGCTGCAATTGCTGCAGCTGCGAGCAGTAACGAGATCACGATGGCGCCCGTGTTGTCTCCTCCAGCATTACGCGTACCGCTGGACTTTTTGGACGAGGCTCCGGGACGCTGGACAGTCCGGCGGGAGGAGGCCGTAGCTGCTCCATCGCCCTCGGCAATAAGTTCCGACGCTGCCTTTTGTTTACTCAGAGACATAAGATTGATATTGCCCGAATTTCGAATATGATAAAGTGTTCCTAAGTGGACACACTGTAACCTCTAGGACAGCCGCGCACCGAAAGTCCAGATATCATAGTTTGCGGCAACACCATAGTATCAGCGGGCATTCAGGCTAGTTATAGCTGACCTGGACACGATGTGCAACTTTCCATTGTTTGAAGAATTAAATGGAAATCATAACGATCCTTGCCCCACACGAATCTGCGCTGAGATGGAGGCTTGTAAGGGCCACAATTAGCGGTGTGCTGTATGCTCAGAAAATAATAAGCTGGCAACCTAGTGAAGTCATTTCAGGGCAAGACTTTATGGTTACAATCAGTCAGTCAGGTAGCACCACAACGACCAAACGACGACAGTGGTACGCGTCTTGAAATTCAGTGATTCTGCAGGTGACCTGGACAGATGGAGCTCGCTTCCCAAGCCTGCATTGGGAAGGTGTAGACGTTGTGAAGCCGTGGAAAGGGTTTGAAAACCACATGCTCCGAGTGCAAGACTCCGGCCTCGCAAAAGTGCACGAAGCTTATAATACAGACTGCTGTTGTAGGTCATTCATTTCGTTTTGCTTTTCCGTTTCATGTGGATCCAGACTGCCGCATGCCATGCGGTGTAACCGCACTATTGGGAGCAACATGCCATCCCGTTGCTTTCCTCTGGCTGGCCATGCGCGGGACGATGCCAGAGTGAGCAGGGCTAACTACCGACATGTCACTCAATTACGCGATCGCCGTAAGTAGACATCTATGATGTAAATTCTGAGCTGACTAAGTACGACAACGCGACCAATCCAGGCGGTGGATGTGACAACTCGCCTGGTATTTGTTGCTTCAGAGACAAATGCCATATTCTGTTATTGAAAGAGGGAAAACGATTGAGAGGCCCGAAGAAGACGGGCCTTACGAACAACAAAAGCAAGATAAGTGTACCAGCTTAATGCGCGTAAGAAATGACGGCCCTGAGTACACGAAAAAGTTATCGTTCTTTCAAGGTACGCAGCTAGCTAGAAACTACACCATGGAAAAGACATGTGGCAGAGGCGCAACCACGACGTTCGCACAGGCTGATTCATTCCACTGGCAATAACGGCATGCGGGCCCCTGCCGTGTGTTTCCTGTGTCGCGGGTCCTAGGCAACCACAAGATAAGCCTCTCCCACACACCAGGCCACACGACCCGCACTTGCCCGTTCGGTCACCGTGGGGATCGAACCCACAGCTGCCCCCCATGGGGCGTACTGAAAAGCAGATACACGCATGAGCTCTTTTCGGTTACGTCACAAGGTTCGCCGAGAAAATCCTAACCCCGAACCCCAGCTGCCGTACACGACCAGCGCGTCCACCCACCGTCTTGAACTCAACGCACAGACATACAGATGTATGCCAGGCACATGCTATGGCAATACTACAACGCCTAAAAGCCACGGAGGAAAGGAAAACACCGCACATCAGCCCAGACTAGCGTCCAAAGCGGGTAACTGAGTTTCGGCCTTCGGCTCGTATGGGTAGTCTTACAGGTATGGGGTCACGCACCCTCAACCATGTAACACACACACACACACATGCTATGGCGTAGTGTGTCAGGTCACAACCCAGTCAAGCTCCAGAACCATGCGTGAGCACAACCCATGTTAGCTAGCACCAGGTACATGTGGGCGGCAGGAGGGGGCGAAGCAGGCGGAGGGCAGCATTTCGGATGCATCCAGAGCTGTTGCTGCTGTTGTTGTTACGGAGTGGGAGGCTTATGGGCCATTTGAACATATTGTCATTTCTACGATTTATCACCATACCGCACCATCCACCATTACCACACTGTACTGCGCCAAAGGAACCCCAAGTCCAAGGCGGTGATCCTGCCTTCTAGGATCCCTCCTCATCCAGTCACCCGATCCTCCGCTGAGATACAGGGTTCAGCAATCGCAAGGAATCCAGCGTGCGAATCTCGGTCCATCAACTGTGACCTCAACTCCAAACCTCAGCAGCCATAATCTCACGCTCCCGGCAATATCGGGTGTCGACCCAGGAATAAAATCTTGGACCTTAAGCCGCATATTGCGGTAGTGTCACCGGACCGGAGCTGTTGCGTAATGACATACGAAAAATAGTAATGCGGGTGACGTGCACACAAACACGGACATGTACAAAAAAAATAGGCAGGTCATGTAGCTGGCGGCTGGCAGTATATATACATTAAAGATTACGATGAGGAGGAGCAACAGGTGCACATTATGAATCGTACCCGAGGTCCTGATGAAGCATGGCTCTCGAGAAGATCTTTTGAATCGGAAGGTCGGCCGCAAATAACAGGGTTGCGCGCGAACAGAATATTAATGTACCAAGATTACACTGTGCAAGATTGCGACATTCATGGCTAAAAGTTTGACGAGGTTTATGCCCCGACGATCCTTTAAAATCCATTGCAAAAGCCCGTAAGCAGCCAGTGGCAGCACCAATAATTCGGTCAAATCGCTTGAACACCATTCATTCCTTCAAGACGTTAAGTCTCCTTCCAGACGTCACTGCTTTTGGCGCAGGCACAAGGCCTTGTGTCTTTCAACGGATATTGTCATCACATGTGTCTATGAGAATCCCCAGGTCTTTCACATCTAGGCCTACGCTAGGCCTACGCTACAAAGAAAATCGTGCTCTGCGGCTTTTACAGTGAAAAGGGCAGGAGCTATCAATTGCGGCAATTTACCTTCCAACATGCACAACACCGTAAAGCAGGAAACGGATATAGATTCATGAAATGCTCAAGTAAATTTTAAGATACTTGCCTGCCATTATTGGTTGCTGGCGACGTAGAGGACCAAGAAAATCTAGAGGAGCCGCGCTGCCTCGCAAACTCTCAAACGTAAGGCCGAAATAACAAAGGCACAACGAAGCCGCGCGGTACGAAAGCGACGAAAGGATATGTGTAACGCTTAGTTTTGCGCTCTTCGACAGGAGAGGTTCTCTGCTCAGCAGTGGCGCTCGGTCGCAGCCTCGCTCGGCTCGGCCCGTTCCTGCAGCAGTGCTGGGTACGTGAATTCGCGGAGGTGTAGGCAACAGGGTTGTGATCGCTGCAGGGTCGGCGGGTCTTCACCAGACTTATGATGCATAGACCCTTACCGTGCGCATGCCTTCCTGTATTGCCACGCGTTCATCACTTGTGCTCTGCTGAAAGGGCTCCATAAACCGGGACTCCTAGATCTGCACCTGGACGGAAACGAATGGAGGCTAGCCAGAAGGGTTATGCAGCGTCAGGACGGCTCAGCTAGCCCCGCACAATTTCAGCAAACCAGGCCTCAACCAAGGCCGCTTCACACTACTGCATGCAGCTAGCAGGCAATTCGCGACCCGGAAAATGGTAGCATGGCATATGGCTGTTCACTTTGACTAGCGAAGTGCCACTTGCGAGGGTTTGCTGGACGTATACATCTTGGGACATCTCGGGATAGCTATGTCGTCGCAAGCACGATAGAATCCAGGGCGCTATCGAGACCTGGATGATATCGTTGCCATTGCAACAAAAAGATATTTTATTTGTGACCCCGAACCGAGCATACAGGTTACAACCCTCGCTCCTGCCGAACAATCATCACGCACATGGACAAGAACCAACTACCAAGACAAAAATTGCAACTTATAAGTATTTTATATAAATATTAATTGCACCAAATTAATTAATATTGGACGGCAGGTTGATGCGTTCGGGCGAAAACCTTTACTAATCCATAGAAATCTCCATGCATCCACACTTTTCCAGCAATCTCTTAGAATCTTTGCTACATGGAAAGCCTCAAAAAAAGAATGCTCTGTGTACGCCGTGACTAAGCTATATAATGCTATAACACAGCTCCAAAAGTACGCCCACCGTAAAATTTTGTCATCTTGCATCCTGACATGCTGATGAATGTGCCGGTTTTCGGTAGTTGCTAATTGAGAATGAGATCTTAGTTGCAGCCGAGGTGTAACATCTGTTAGGAAACGAGCGGCGGGAAACGCAACTGTCGCCGTGCCGCCGAACGACTAACCTAATGTGAGCAGCAGGGTCGAGCGAGATGGAGCCTCCTTCTAGCCTTCTAACTAAGGCTGGTTACAGCAAGACTGTGGGCGCTGCAGTAGCTAGCGTTTCCTTTCCACCAACTACCAAAATCCTCCTAGCGCTTTTGGGAACTGGCGCTGCACTTCTCTCCGCCGCGTTGGTGCTGGATAGCAGAGGCATAAGCCTACCAGTAAGTTCGTTTGAATTGGCGTATCCATACATATCCGTCCCTCATGGTTTGCACGTAATAATAGAACTATGCAGTAAACAATCTCAGTGCCCTGCAGTGTCCGCGTGATGTTCTGACTCCCACTACCTGGCGTACGTACCCTCCCTGCCTTGCATCACGCCTTCCATAGGAAAAATACTTGGGCGCTAGTCTGGGCTGATAGTGTGGTGTTTTCCTTTTCTCCGTGGCTTTTAGGCGTTGAGGTCGTGCTCTTGGGCCCTCGGCTCGTATGATGCGTAGTTCTACAGGAATGGGGTCACGCAACCCCAACCGTGTAACACAAGCGCGCGCGCACACTCTCTCTCTCTCTCTCTCTCTCTCTCTCTCTCTCTCTCTCTTAATACGGCCCTTCAATCCTCTCCCCCTTGCCCCCTGCCTACCCCAGTGCGATGGCCTCCGCTGGCTCTACCTGCTTGGATCTGTCCTGGCAAGTATGATCATTTTGGACAGCCTGGTGGAGCTTGTCTACCTATGGCTTGAGGTGGGGATACGGAAGCAGGTCCTAAGACTGCTGGGCCCCGCGCAAACCTAAATTTTTCACCTTTCGTGTGTTTCTGTCTGTCCGCCTGTCCGCCTGTGTTTCTGTTTGCTCATATGTCTAGCTGTGCACTTATCCATCCTTTCCTTTAACATGTCGGTCTTTTTTATTCATCATCATCCAGCTGTTGTAAATGCCTGCTGCTGTCCGCCTGTCACCTCGCACCAAAGTGAGGAAGAGGTGATCCATAAGGTGCTTCACCCAGACTCCTGCTTCTCCTATTGCTTCACCAAGTGCGACGGCGCAAGACTAGTTGATGCCCGACCTCATCGTCCCTCCGCCGCTGCTGCTTCCCTGCTTTTTCGCAGCTAAGATTTTTCTTCTTGCTTGTGATGCTGCCTTCCGCCCGTCTGATGTGCAAGGTGCGTGCGCGGGTGGGTGAATATGCTTTGCTGGCAGAAATGTCCCGGCAATACGATGCAGCGTGTCGGCGTACGTCCTGCTGTCGTGTT